GGGGCGGTCGGGTAGCCTATTGGTTACACCGTTCGCTCATCACGCCGAAGACCCAGGTTCTGTGTGAGCCCATTTCTGGTGTCCCCCGCCATGATATTTCTGGAATACTGCTAAAAGCGGCGTAAAACCAATCTCACTCACTCACTCTCACTGTTCTTTTGTAGACTAACATCTAGTCTCTTAAATGAACATATTTTACAGAAGAAGCAGTTGTTAGATTATTGTTATTAAATATAATAAAAAGGAGCCCAGAGACTTTCTTCATATTCAGATACTGCTGTAATCTAGACTTGCCAAACATTATAGACTTGCATAGGCTGTATTGGATATATTTGTTTCAGGGTCTGTATGAAGACTATTTTGTTGGGGCATACTTTGTGTCGTTCTGTACTGTGTGATACAGGTCCACATGTATCATGTGTCATATCAAAGGTCACATATTTTAGTGTTTAACCCTTATTAATGGTTGCAGATAATCTTGTCAGTGCCAAGCGAAACAGTCATATGTGGTAACCTTTGATCCCAACATTTACAGTTAAATTGACATAGGACTGTATTTGTTATCTATTCAGCTGGTACCAAAGACAGCGTTAGAAATTGGCACTAGTCCTATAGTCCTTGCCAAACTGCCCAATGGTAAAGGTATCATAAGGACTAGTATAAATGTGCCCTTTTAAAGGGTTTTGCTATATGTTATCATTATAAGGACTGGTGGACAAAAACTGTTAGTTTCTAACCCTGAAAGATTAACATCTTTTCCTTAAATCTTAATCCAACAAGAAAATACAGCAAAAAGCACAATAATAACAGTAGTCCTTAATTTTTACATTTTCAGATGTAATGTACAGTTTTTACTCCTATCTTCAGGTATATATAGATAAAAGTCTGAAAAATATATTCGTATTCGACGTAATAAGCGCCCAGGGCGCTCTCAAAATTAGAAATAGGGGGCTCTTATTAGAATATTATTTTGGTGGAAAAAACAGAGTTGAAAGATAAATTTCGTGGTTTATGCTGACAGCCTGAAATGTTAATGTACGACAGATATATTTTTCCAGAACTTCATTGCCCATAATTAAGGGTGCATATAACACACGAGTGTGTATTATACGCGAATAAATAACTCTTGTGTACATTGATCAATCGGAAGGGGTGCTAATTGGGTTTGTTCACTAGTCAATATGTTAGAATTATCGCAGTGGGCGCTTATTAAAGCGGGGCGCTTATTACGTCGAATATGGTAATTAGCCTTACCAGGATTTTTCTTGATGCGGAAATGTGTGTCAAGTACACACAAATGTGTAGAATGTATGCAGAAAAATAATATGGTGTCTCTCATGATGCACAGTAATATTCCTTGCTCCAATTCCTTGAAAATTATTTATAGGGCTGTCGGGTAGCCTAATGCTTAAAGCGTTCCCTCGTCACGCCTGGGTTCGATTCCTGATATGGGTACAATGTGTGAAGCCCATTTCTGGTGTCCCCCGTCGTGATATTGCTTTAATATTGCTAAAAGGGGCGTAAAACCGTACTCACTTACAGAGGAGAATTATAAAGGTACTGTAATTAGGGCCTTGAAATTAATTATTGGGACCCCAAGACATCCGGGTTTGTTTGTGGAATGGGGCTCTAGTTATATTTCCTTATGGCCAAATTGAAACCTAGATTTCGAAGGAAATAGAAATGGCTTATTCATTTGACATTCCTTTTTTTTGCAGATACATCAGTATTCAAATAAAACCAGCATCAGGTCAATAATATCCATTTGAACTTGAAGATGGCCTCAGCATCTGCAACGTCAGCATCAATAATGGGAGGATACCCTACGGACATATTTCCATCGGGATTTGATCAAAAGTTTCTTTGTGGGCTTTGCAAAAAGATTTTGCGAGATCCACGCCAGAACTTTTGTGGGCATAGATTCTGCATGGGATGTGCTGAGAATACCTTCAGGTTTGTACAAAGGCTTCTTTTCAGAGAACTTTAAGCAATTTTGATTTCTTGGGGGGGAGGATTCAGATTTGGGGTGGATAGATTCAGCTGACAAAATATGTTCCTTATTCCAACGTAAAAGTAACTGATCGTATAAAGTTGGTGTCACAAGCAGACAAGTTTACAACCTGTTTGTCAGGCTCCATAACTTGGTGAAAAGGCTGTATATAGTATTTGTATCTACACTTGAACATAAGCAAATCAAAGTTAATTTCCCGTGGAGGCTTCGACTTAGGTGATCTTGTCAATCATCTAGTTTGTCCTGCCTATCTCAGAAAGCACTGTACACTTTCACTGTATACTTGTTAAGTTAACAGCCTCGCTGAAACTTGACGCTAGAAATAGATACGATTTCTCACAATCTCTATCAAGAATTGAAACTTCTAGTATCAAGTCAGATTCCTAGAAATATCTTTGCCAGCTTGCTGGGACGATCTAGATCCCAACTTAGATGTTGGTTCTGTGTATCAGTATCTAAGATGAGGTCTTCCGCCAGACACTCGGTGAACCGAAGGTGGACATTGTCTACCAAGAACGAAATAACGAAATGTTCAAGAATGAAATAACCAAGATCAGTTAATCATAATCTTCCACAGAACATGGTATATTCTGTTATTCTTACAACAAAAAACAGTACATTTTCAATATTATAGCTATGTTCAAAATCAGAATCCTGTGGTGACATCTGAGAGACACCATTGCTGGTGTCATGTATGCGATATTTGAGCATCACAGGTCTTGTGATATGAGTGCCTGCCTTCCTTAAAGCCACCTGGATAAATATCACAAATATTCTTTACACATGGAAACCCCAATGTGAATGTACTGTTGACAATTATCCACTACCAATACATAACATGAATTGATAATGCTGTTTAGAAAGTTGTCAAATGTGACATATAATATATTTGGAATTATACTTTCTTAGCAAAGATCAAATTCTAGTAATAAGTTTTTGGTAGAGTCTCATCCGGGATTTGAACCCACACTCTCAGAGAGAGCACCTAATTGCCAGCACACAAACTCAATGACCTAACCCACTCAGCCACCAAGGCTTCCATATAATGGAAGTACGACAACTGCAGAACACATAACACCACCACGCACCATACATTAAGAATGCATTATTGTGGTTACAAAGCATAAAAATCAATACAGGCTACTTCAGAGTTTATAGTCTTAATACAGTGTGGAGTGAATGCTGTTACCAGTTGTGGTTCTCTGTCATTCCAGTGGTACTGAGCTAAGAGATCTAACATATCAACAAGGCTCCAGATACTATTTGGAGCCACTGAGTGTTGATTCACATGTTTTATTCAGAGTAGATGTTGATAGTTATCTTTGGGCATTCAATGTATTTGGTCCAGTCTGTTTGGTTTCGTAAACCGATGAATAGATTTTAAAAAAATGTTCTACTTCTTTGCTGTTTCATTTAACTTACCATATTCGACGTAATAAGTGCCGTACAATCAGCTTGATGTCGAATATCTGTGCATTATTCACTGCAACTGAATTTATGTATTTGTTCTGTTTTCATTCTATCAGTCAGAAAAGATCTGTAACGGTGTACTTGCAGTGTTAGAAATTGCCACTCGTCCTGTTGTCCTTGCCAAAGTGACCACTAGTTAAGGTATCAGAAGGACTACTTCAAAATAGCCAATTTTAAGGAGTTTTGCTATATATCATCGTTATTAGGACTTGTGGACAAAACATGTTAGTTTCTAACCTGAAGAACACCGGGCATAAAGTACCAAGTGTTATACTATGGTATTATCAAATTTCTACAGACGTATTTTCGCGGTTGGGTAGCCTAGTGGTTAAAGCATTAGTTTGTCTTGCCGAACATGCCGAAGACCCGGGTTCGATTCCTGACATGGGTGCAATGTTTGCAGCCCATTTCTGGTGTCCCCTGCCGTGATATTGCTGGAATATTGCTAAAAGCGGCGTAAAACCAAACTCACTCACTCAGACATATTTGTATGCTAGCTAGCAACTCAAAATTAATTGGGATATGGTGATTTCATTTCCTGCAAATACGCAGCTTATCTGGACCTTTCTATCAAAATCTTGTTCTGTATATCCCAGTCTGCAGCAAGTGCAGTAGAGTATACATGTTATTTTGAATTCAAAATGAATTCAACAGTAACATAGTTTAGTAAGTTACTACAGCTTTCATACCTGTGAAGAACCGGGGTAGAATAGGTCTTCAGCAACCCATTCTTGTCGTAAGAAGCGACTTACGGGATCGGATAGTCAGGCTTGCTAACTTGGTTGATGCATGTCATCTGTCTTAGTTGCGTGGATCGATGCTCATGACATTAATCACTGGATTGTCTGGTCTAGTCTTGATTATTTACGGACTGCTGTCATATAGCTGGAATATTGCTGAGTGCGGCGTAAAACCACAAACCAACCAACCAACCACAGCTTCCTTGCCCACCTTTTGTGATCTGCTGCTGTTGAGGATGATCCAAAGAACCTTTGTTTTTTTACATCAAAGAAAGACTTTCATTTTCTAAAATTCAGAAGGGTCAAAATGGCAGGTGGCTAAAAATGTGTGTATGTCAATCAAAGAAAAGGATATAACTGATCATTAGGAGCTCAACTAGTCATACAGAGTAATTATAGTGAAAATCTAGTGAATACCCAAGGAAAAACTGTTTGTTTGTTGTTTAACGCCGCACTCAGCATGCTCAGCAATATTCCATCTATATGACGGCGGTCTGTAAATTATTGAGCCTGGACCAGACAATCCAGTGATTGACATCGTGAGCATCGATCCACACAATTAGAAAAAAACTGAAATTCTCAATGAGACTGACTGCGTGTGAGTAAATACAAAATGGCTCAAAAAGATATCAGGAGCATTGGTCTGTCTGTGTTGCAGCCAGGAGGAGGTTGCTAAGAGACAGGGGAAGCCGATGGTTTGTCCATGCTGCTTAGAAGAGGGGATGGGAGATGACTCTGAGGAGTTGAAGTTGGATCATGTGAGTATTAATGACAAGTGTTTATGTCTGCACGCAGTTGTTTTTTACGACTAATTATTGGCATTGTTTACACTGTTGATACACTGAGATATGACGGGGCATGCTGGATACCTCAACATGGAGAAGTGGCTTGCACAGAAATAGCGCACAGAGATCGTGAAAAGGAAATGGTTTCCGTCTGCTCTGGTTCAGATGAGAGGTGATTCAGAAAGAGTAAGTGGAGGAATAATTCAGATGGAGAGCTGGTTCAGATGAAGACCTGGTGGAGAGATGTTTCAGATGAAGACCTTGTGGAGAGCTGTTTCAGGTGAAGGTCTGGTGGAGAGAAATTGAGATGGAGAGGTAGTTAAGATAGAAAGCTGTTTCAGATGAAGAGCTTATCGAGTGCTTCTATAGGTGATATGCTGTTTCAAGTGAAGATTTGGTGGAAAGCCGTTTCAAGTGAAGATATGGTGGAAAGCCGTTTCAAGTGAAGATCTGTTTGAAAGCTGTTTCAGATGAAGATCTGGTGGAGAGATGTTTCAGGTGAAGATCTGGTGGGGAGATGTTTCAGATGAAGATCAGGTGGAGAGATGTTTCAGATGAAGATCTGGTGGAGAGATGTTTCAGGTGAAGGTCTGGTGGAGAGCCCTTTATGCTTGTTTGGATGGAGAGCTGTTTCAGATGTGAAGAATTGTTGAGAGTTTGATCAAATGAAGAGAAGCTGGGGATTGAGCAGTGGTTAATGAAAAGCTCATTTGGCGGAATTCTGGTTCAGATGGAGAGCTTGTTCAGTTGAAGAGGTGGTTCAGATAGGGAGCAAGTGAGAGCTGGTTCAGATGGAGAGCTGGTTCAGATGTTGTTTGTTTAGATGAAGTGGTGGTTCAGATGGAGGTGAGGTGGTTGAATGAGGTCTTGTTCGGTGAAAGAGGTGGTTCAGATGTTGTTTGTTCAGATGGAGAGCTGGTTCAGATGGAGAGCTGGTTCAGATGGAGTGGTGGTTCAGATGGAGTGGTGGTTCAGACAAAGAAGTGATGACAGCTGGTTTCAGATGGAGGTGAGGTGGTTGAATGAGGTCTTGTTCGGTGAAAGAGGTGGTTCAGATGTAAAAGTGGTTCAGATGAAGAGCTGGTTCAGATGGAAAGCTTATTTGTATTTGGATGCAATTAAGGTGGTTGGATGGAAAGATCCAGTTGAGAGCTGGGGCAGAAGAAGAGGTTGTTGAGAGCTGGAGCAGAAGAAGAGGTTGTTGAGAGCTGGATCAGAAGAAGAGGTTGTTGGATGCTGGATCAGAAGAAGAGGTTGTTGGGTGCTTGATAAGATTGAGAGGTTCAGATTGAGAGATTGTTCAGATAGATGATTCAGCATCACATTGGAAGGTGGTGGAAGATGCATGAGTCTATGCATAGTCCAATCAAAATCATGTAACGAACTAAATATCTGGTTTGTAAACATCATGGATTTCAATGTGCAGAATTGGGTTGACTTAAGAGTTGGCAAAGGACGTGTACCGCCAACTGGGCGTCGACAAATGTTTTGCAAATAATTTCATGTCTATAATCCAGGTGCTCAAGTGATTTGATGCATGTTTCCAACATAAGGCCTGTTAAATTACAAAATACATCTTGATTATCAATCAGATCATCTTGACAGGGCAGCATCATTTTGTTTGAAAAAATTGCAAGTGGTGTGAGAAGTGGAATCTGATTGGTCACTAGGTGGGATATAGAGGGGACATAACTCGGTGGCACTCTGATCGAGCAGGGAAATTCCAGCCTAGTTTGGCAAGGGTGGAAACTGAACTTTTATAGTTAGTTGATGCCTTTGCTTTGGGAAGATGGTGCTGATTCAGTGCCATTCCACACGGCAATCTTAGCGCTAAGACAGTCATGAGTCCCATACAGTGACATCGCTAAGATCCAAGTGGAACAGGATTCAGGACAGCAAGCAAATGACCATGTGTGCCGGTGAGGTCCTCTTGCACCTCTCAGTAATTATCAAAACTGAAGTTTCCGTTGGCCACAGGACTAGATCCCTTATGTCTGCGGCCACTGTCAGGGATTGCTTGATATTTTCTTGACATGTAACATCAGAGTGTAAAATACTACTGAGCAGTTTGTGCTTCTTTCCACAAAGGTGCAATGTGTTGGTGTTGCAGATGTTCCCCGACAACGCTGTGAAGAGGGAGATGATCAAGATGGACACCAGCTGCAGCTACCAAGGATGCAAGTGGAAGGGGAAGTTCAAGGATTATGCTGTAAGTACCTATCTCACATGAGCTTCCCAAGTAGGGGTCCTTGATAAGAAGCTGTTACCAGCAAAGCTGGTCGTAAGATGCGGTTCAAGGATTATGCTGTAAGTACCTATCTCACATGAGCTTCCCACGTAGAGGTCCTTGGTAAGAAGCTGTAACCAGCAAAGCTGGTCGTAAGATGCGGTTCAAGGATTATGCTGTAAGTACCTATCTCAAATGAGCTTCCCACGTAGGGGTCCTTGATAAGAAGCTGTTACCAGCAAAGCTGGTCATAGGATGCGGTTCAAGGATTATGCTGTAAGTACCTATCTCACATGAGCTTCCCAAGTAGGGGTCCTTGATAAGAAGCTGTTACCAGCAAAGCTGGTCATAGGATGCGGTTCAAGGATTATGCTGTAAGTACCTATCTCACATGAGCTTCCCACGTAGGGGTCCTTGATAAGAAGCTGTTACCAGCAAAGCTGGTCATAGGATGCGGTTCAAGGATTATGCTGTAAGTACCTATCTCACATGAGCTTCCCAAGTAGGGGTCCTTGATAAGAAGCTGTTACCAGCAAAGCTGGTCGTAAGATGCGGTTCAAGGATTATGCTGTAAGTACCTATCTCACATGAGCTTCCCACGTAGAGGTCCTTGGTAAGAAGCTGTAACCAGCAAAGCTGGTCGTAAGATGCGGTTCAAGGATTATGCTGTAAGTACCTATCTCACATGAGCTTCCCAAGTAGGGGTTTGGGGTAAGAAGCTGTTACCAGCAAAGCTTGTGTAAGATGCGGTTCAAGGATTATGCTGTAAGTACCTATCTCACATGAGCTTCCCAAGTAGGGGTTTGGGGTAAGAAGCTGTTACCAGCAAAGCTTGTGTAAGATGCGGTTCAAGGATTATGCTGTAAGTACCTATCTCATATGAGCTTCCCAAGTAGGGGTTTGGGGTAAGAAGCTGTTACCAGCAAAGCTGGTCGTAAGATGCGGTTCAAGGATTATGCTGTAAGTACCTATCTCACATGAGCTTCCCACGTAGGGGTTTGGGGTAAGGAGCTGTAACCAGCAAACTCTGTTGGTCATAAGATGGGACTTAACCCATGAAGATCCGGGGTAAAATAGGTCTTCAGCAACCCATGCTTCAGCAACCCAAAAGGCGACTGTGCTTGTCGTAAGAGGCTACTGACAGGATCGGGTGGTCAGGCTCGCTGACTTGGTTGATGCATGTCATTGGTCCCAATTGCGTGGATTGATGGTCATGATGTCAATCACTGGATTGTTTGGTCCAGACTATTATTAAAATGGTTACAATGTGCGACATGGCTGATTGTGAGTCATTCATTGTGTTTGTTTGTTGGTTGTTTAACGTCGCACTCAGCAATATTCCAGCTATATGACGGACACTTTTTGTGACGTCAACTCCCGTATACACAGTATGTGAAATAATTTTTTAACAGCACTAGCCAGTCAGGCAAGCTAGATGCTAGCAAGCAGGGTAATTCTAGATTTGTGCAGACTGTCAAGGGCCATCAGTGTCCAGAGGAAATGCATCAACCAAGTCAGGAAGCCTGACCACCCGATCACGTTAGTCCCCTCTTATGACAATGGGGGACACAGGTGCCCAGTCGTCTAAGGCGCCACGATTCGCTGTGCAGAGTTGCGTCCCTTGGGCACGCCAGAAACCTATGATAATGGGTTCGAATCCTGGTTTGCCCCGATTATGTTTCTAGGTTTGTCAGCACCATACCCGTTCTCGTGGGTTTCACCAAAGTGGTAAACGTCTAAGACCTGCATCACTTCAGGCTTTCCTCCCACATTAAGCTGACACGCCGTGATATAACTGGAATACTGTTAAAAGTGGCGTTAAACCCAACTCACTCGCTCACTCACTCTTATGACAAGCAAAGTCACCTTTTTAGGCAAGCATGACTTGGTTTGGGTGACTAAATGTAAGTCTACCTTGCTCCAACAGACGCATGAGTCACAGTGCCAGCATCGCCCACTTCCATGCTCCATGTGTGGAGCCATGGTTCCAATCAGTCGTAGAGCGGAGCACGAGCAGAAGGAGTGCTCCCAGCGCAAGATGAGCTGCAAGTTCTGTGGCATTGAGATTGCCCATTCAAATGCAGAGGTAAGTTATTAATGTGTGACTCGTTTTTAAAATGATGTTTTCTCGTGACTATTTATTCCTTATGTGTCACTCATGTTTGACAGGTATCAGAATTCAACAAAATGCATAATTATTAGGGACTGGGGATTTAGTACAGGGGTGGGGGAGTCGGCGAGAATGGTCTTAGGACTTTTATATTTTGTTGACACACCTAAGCCAGCCCACCCCCAGTTTATATTACATTTTTTTACCACACTGCACCGTACCAACACACAACTCAATACAGCACTATCACAACACAACACAACACTCAGGAACTACCACAACACAGCAACTCAATTCACCTCACACCGGAACTACCACACCACACCACACCACACCACACCACACCACACCACACCACACCACACCACACCACACCACACCCAGACATGTTTTGCATATTTTCTGAGGGATCAGGGATGTTTTGGAAGCACTGGTCCTATTGGCTCCTATGGCAAGTGACTGTTCGAAATGTGCCTCTGTTCACCCAGCAGTGAATGGGTACCCGGTAGGGAGAGACGGTGACTGTTGACCAAGCGCCTCGCAGGCAGCTTGGGTTGTATACTCCCCATGGAGCTGAGAATGAAAATCAAGTGCACACTGATCCATTGACTGGGTTAACAATAGTGCAGCGCTATGAGCATCCACTGGGTGAATGGAATTTGGTGCATTATAAATGCACATATTATTATTATTGTAGTTGTTGTGATGATGATGATGATGATGATGATGATTTGTTATTTTTTATATATATTTTTTATATATTATTATTATTATATTATTATTATTATTATTAGCTGAAATACAATTATTATTATTATTATTATTATTATTATCAGCTGAAATACAAGCTGTGTACACAAGCTGACACTTCCTTCCTTCCCTGTTGCAGGCACACAACCAGGAGTGTCTGAAATACCCTACCAAGTGTGATGCTTGTGGAAAGAAGAAAATACCAAGAGAGCAGGTGAATATTGCAGACTGTTCCGTAGCTGGAGCTCCAGAGACCAGGGTGTCCTTAAACAAGAATAAAATAATAATGAAAACGTGGTAATAGGTTCACAGGTTTGTTATCATCAGGTAGTTGTAAGTATAGTCGGCAATAAGAAGGATCAAAAACCCAATTTACACTGACAACGAACTCGGATTAATTAAACCGGAACAAGCTGATTAGCTGAGCAGTTGTAGAACCATAATACAAAGGAACCAGCTAAATCAACACTTTGACAAGATAAGCGACAAGATGCATAGACAGCCAATTAAGTGGGCTGTGACCAGTTAACACCTTAGAGTTAATTGACTCAATACTCTAACAAGTGAATAACCTCGGCTGGGTTTAATAGGGAGAAATATACACAGAGGGCCTATCCCTAAAATAAGTGTCTTGGACAATGAAATAGACGAAATGTCTGAATATCAAACTTGTCTTTGACTAAAGACTCGGTCACATTGACGGGGCAGGGACATTCTATTTTTCACGAAGATATACGATAACTGTCCTACGGAGTCTCTCGGCTCACAATCATTAAGAAAGGTACTTGCCCAAAGGAGTAACTTGATTTCCAATAGTAAATAGGTACTTGGCTTAAACTAGACAATCATGGGAAAGTTGGTTATCCACGGAATATAAGAAAAACAGAGTATGAAAAGCTATAGCTAATACGTTTAGCTCAATACAACCAGTCAGTACTAGATTAAAACTGCTCCCTAATTATAGTCTGGAAGGTAATTTAAGGTACCGACGTTTACTACAATATCTGAAAAACTATCGGACCTACTCCATTTAAAGTTGGTATGAGATTATTAAACAGTCATACATGACTGGATATTACATTTAAAGACAATCGGTGCATGAATAAAAAATCTGTCTATTTAGCTATCACTATATTTCATCAACAACCAGACCTGTTCGTCACGGGTGAAACGAGCATTCATTGTAACAGCCATCTGCATAAAGCGTATTCGTGCGTGATTCCCGTGCCCGCCCACACTATATTTTCAAAAGTGATCATTGCTTGAGAAACAGGTCTTTAATTGGGTGGCCAAGTCGTCTAAAGGGCCGCGATTCACTGTACAGAGTTGCGTCCCTTGGGCACGCCAGAAACCTATGATTGTGGGTTCGAATCCCAGTTCGCCCCCATTCCCCCCTGATTATGTTTCTAGGTTTGTCAGCACCATACCCGTGCTCGTGGGTTTCACCGAAGTGGTAAACGTCCAAGACCTGCATCACTCCAGGCTTTCCTCCCACATTAAGCTGACACACCGTGATGTGACTGGAATAATGTTAAAAGCGGCGTTAAACCAAACTCACACACTCACTATACATGAATAAGGTAGCAAACATATGTGAGATAACATATATCAAGTCAATACTGGATAAAAGTATGTGATAATACAGCTGGAGAATAAAATTGACGGGTCACCAATTCTCTAACAATGAACTTACAGACACCAGAGTATGACGACCAACAGACTTTACTGAAGGGTGATGATGCCAGGCAATTAAGGGAGAACGAAGCAGTACAGTCACTAGACCGTGACTAAACTGGTTTGACCACCCAGTGACACAGACACTCATAATAATTTTATTACTCGGAAGTCTGTGTCAGTTATTGTTGAGTTATCATTATTTCCCACAATCTGATTCACTGAAAAAAAATTCAAATGGAATTTGAAGCCGGGAAATGTTTTCAAGTTTTGACTGAATATGACTTCTTCTCTTGATGTGCATCAAGTCACGAATGTTGCGTTCAGAATGTTGACATGCACATCTCATTAAGTTTATCAATAAAAACACATTTCTGGTGCCCCCGCCATGATATTGCTGAAATATTGCTGAAATGTTGCTGAAAGCGGTGTAAAACCAAACTCACTAACTCGCTCACTCTGTATTCTGCTTGTCATGCTATTCAGTTGTAATGGAAGGGGCACGTGTGGCCCAGTTGTCTAAGGCGCCCAGATTCACTGTGATATGACTGGAATACTGTTAAAAGCAGCATTAAACCCAACTCACTCACTCACACAGTTGTCATGGAAGCATGCAGTGTATCATGGTTGCTTTTCAGAGCACACAAAGAGAGTGCTATTGATAATTGTTTTCTTCATTAGCCAATTTGAATCTATCACAGTGCATCCTTTTTAGCTTTCCCCTAAAACAAAGCTGGCATGCTGTGATAAATATGAAATACTGTTCTAAGCCAAACTCACTCACTCACTCACTCACTCACTCACTCACTCACTCACTCACTCACTCACTATCTCTCACTGACTTGGTTGATGCATGTCATCGTATCCCAATTGCATATATCGATGCTCCTAAGTAAATCACTGGATTTGCAGGTCCAGATTTGATTATTTACTGCCCCGATCATATAGCTGGAATATTGCTGAGAGTGTTAAACAACAAACATACAAATACTCAGTCTCTCTATTTATTCCAGCTGCAAGACCACCTGGACAGAGAATGCAGCAAGAGACTGCTGACCTGCCCAGTCGGATGTCCAGAACAGGCAAGTATTACTGCCGTATTTGACATAATAAGCGCCCAGGGTGCTCTCAAAATTAGAAATAGGGGGCTCTTATTAGAAAGATAAATTTAGTGGTTTATGCTGACAGCCTGAAATGTTTATATACGACAGATATATTTTTCCAGAATTTAATTGCCCATAATTAAGGGTGATATAACACACGAGTGCGTATTATACACGGATAAATAGGTCTTGTGTACATTGATCAATGGGAAGGGGTGCTAATTGGGATTGTTCACTAGCCAATATATTAGCAAATATCGCCATGGGCACTTATTATAGAGTGGGGCGCTTATTACGTCGAATACGGTATATCACAGTCAATATGATCACATCAAGTTTTAACTTGGACCACTCGCTGCTACTTTCATGAAATACTTAACCTCATTCGTCACCACTCGCCCCTTTCCGTAACCTGCAAGAAGACTCGTCCCCCTCTCGATGAATGTTATGTGCGAAAATACGACAAACCAATCAGAATGCGCGTATGATTTCGAGTTCTTTGTCAAATAATCCCTCAGAAATAATTTTTGATTTTACATATGTTTCGCATCTAAAAATAAACCCAAGGCACAGTTAAATGTGTTCAATCATACTGTATAATTCCGCATGTCCCGATGTCCTTTAAATTGCATCAGAAATATATATAATATATGGGGAAATATATGTGAACCATTACGCAACGAGTTGACAATTTTTTTAGGTATGCCCGTTTGCTCTAAGACGGAACCTAGTCGCAAAAATGGCCACGAGAGGGGCACGAGTCGCTATTCGGCTTGTCCCGGAATAACACGAGTTGGTCACGAATGACTTAACCTATGCTCATACAATTTTGGATTCAAGTTTAAAAGACATATACAGCATTTCTAATCCAACTTTTCAGTACTAGCTGCAAAATACATTTTTTTTTTACCATTTGTTTTTTTCACATTTTGGCCTGGTGTGTATTTATTATTATTAATAAATTGTTGTGGGGTAGGGTAGGGTAGCTTAGTGGTTAAAGAATTGGCTTGTTCTTGGTTCTATTGCCAACACTGGTACAATATGTGAAGCCTATTTCGTGTGTCCATACACCATGTAATTTCTGAAATATTGCGAAAAGAGGTAAAAAAATTAAATAACTTATTTGTTAAAAGAATACTATTATTTACATCACCAGTCTGCAGAATTCTGCGTTCAAGATTTAAGAAATGTTTTCAGAAACATGCAGAATCTGGGTGGCCTCTTGAAAATGTGTATCTTCACAATTTAAATACCGACCACAAAACCACCCTTGTATTTAGGGGAAGTCGCTGAAGCGCTCATAAAATGACTTTAGATGCCCTGTGTAATGGTATCATCACTGTGCGTTCTTTGAGTTCTAAAAGAAATTCTACTTGTTTTTTAAAGTCTATCCTAATTCATGCAAAGGGTAGTTTTTGGTTAGGTCTGACTTTGACTTTTTTTGCCTCCAAGCAGATGAACCTTGACAAATTTATCCAACATCTGACAAATGGGAAGACTCAAGGAAATCATCTTTTCTGGATCATGGACAAGCTCTTTAACCTGGAGAGAATGGTCAATGGTAATGTCACGGCCTTGACCCCACAAGGGGATCTTGCACAGATCATGGCAAGCATCAATGAACTCGACAGAAAGGTTCAGGAAATGCAAAATCACAGACAACCCAATGATGACTCCCAGAACTTCAATGGAAGACTTCAGGCTACCGAGGCCAAGGTGTCTTCATTTGAACCAATCATGGGAGTCCTCCACAAGGAGATTGAGAGATGCTTACAGGTCATTGAATCTTTGGAACGACAACAGATCGCAGAACGCCAGAGAACAGATCAGTTGAACACAATGGTCGAACAGATGGATCAAAAGATCAAGACAGTTGAAAGGAACGTTGCTCTGAAAGACATCCAGCTTGCGGAACACGACCTTCGCATGCAGTGCATGGAGCTCGCCAGTTACGATGGCAGTTTGTTGTGGAGGATCACAGATGTGGCAAAGAAGAGAAACGAGGCTGTGACAGGGAAAGTGACAAGTCTCTACTCCCCGGCCTTCTTCACAGGGAAAGTCGGATATAAAATGTGTGCAAGAATATACCTAAATGGGGACGGAATGGGCAAGGGAAGCCACATCTCGCTGTTCTTTGTTGTCATGAGGGGACATTATGATGCTCTGATGCCGTGGCCGTTCCAGCAGAAAGTGACGTTGATGATGATTGACCAGAACTTCCGCGAACACATGGTGGACACGTTTCGACCAGATCCAACAAGTTCCTCCTTCAGGAGGCCTGTGTCAGAGATGAACATCGCGAGTGGATGCCCTCTTTTTCTCCCCCTTCCCCGACTTATGGACACCAACTCGGGCTACATCAAAGATGATGTTATCTTTGTGAAGATCATTGTGGAGACTGAGGGTTTAGACAGATACACAGAATTGAATCCACTGAAAGGAGTGTTACCGATGCAACCGCCTCCCCAGAAAAAGTAGCAGAGGATAATTAAGAGGTCCTGAGTGTTATGCTCTCTCAGTATACTGTTTCTGAGTGGTATATATATATATGTACATCAGGACTAGTACAAGCATACAAGGGCGGTCGTACAAACAAACCACACGTCCACACGGTGCGGCTGATTGGGTTAGGAAATACCCAGTGAAAAGACTTTATCTCTTACGACAAAGGGGGTGGTCGGGTAGCCTAGTGGTTAAAGCGTTCGCTCGTCACGCCGAAGACCCGGGTTCGATTCCCGACATGGGGACAATGTGTGAAGCCCATTTCTGGTTTCCCCTGCCGTTATATTGCTTGAATATTGCTAAAAGCGGCGTAAAACCATACTCACTCACTCACTACAAGCAAACAATGTTTTGATTGGCCTTCACAATATACCTGCAATGGTGTTATTCCTGCAAACGTCTAGTGATGTAAAAGACTTGATTAATCTTGACAACATGTATCACGAATATACTGGTAGTCAGAACTTTAAATTATCAACTGATTTACATAATTGTATACCTTGCATATGTACAGAGGTATATGTATATATTGTATATTTCTTTGTGAACACTGACTTTGAATATATTTGTATATAGTATATTGGACTATATCACATATTGCAGTGCATTTTGTCACACATTTCAGTGTATATTGATAATTTTTCTTCAAAACAGTTCAATGATATCATGAAACAGGGGCCATATTTGAAAATATTTATTACACACACGGTGAAGGTCACGGTGGAGGTCATCTATGTCTTATACCGGATTGGAGACTGTGTTTTACAATTTTAGGGGAAATTTGGGATGGTTTGTATTTTTTCATTTAGGTGTATGCTAGTTCTTTATGTTTTTCCACACATTACAGATTAACAATAGGTTCTAGCATACAAAACATTGTCATGCATATCAGGGTTGAATGTCAGATGTGAAATATAAATCCAAGTGTAAAATCTATAATGTGACAGGGATTTAATGTGGTAGGCCAAGTTTTTGAAGTGATGGTTTGTGTGATAACCTCATCATAATTGACATCTACTGCAACTTCTGCCCCTTAACTGCACCAGGATCTGCTGATCAAGGTAAATTCCTCCTAAATACAGTCCTTGGTTTGTCAGCACCATACCCATATTTGTCGATTTCACGAAAATGTTAAAAATCTACAACCTGCATCATATTGTGATGAATTTGAAATAGTGTTATGTGGTGTTCAACCAAGCTCTCTTACTGCAGGGTTCCTCGTCAGAAGTGGTCCCAACAACCTATGCTTGTCGTGAGAGGCGACAAAATGGATCGGACGGACTCAGTGACTTTATTGATTATGGGTCATTGCTCACAATTTCAATCACTGGATCGTCGTGTCCAGACTTGATTATTTACAGGCCAGCATCGTTTAGCTGGAGTATTGCTGAGTGTGGCGTTAAACTACAAACAAACACCCACTTACTGACATAGACTTGTGGTAGTCCAGCTCTGGTAGATCTTCTACATAGGTCCTGGTACAATAGCTTTGTGAAACAAGGACCAGGGTACCGTTGTACAAAGCGATCTTAGCGCTAAGATGATCGCAAGTCCCATACTTTAACATAGGCTTACGATCATCGCCGCGCTAAGATCGCTTTGAGGAACGGGGCCCAGGGTACCATTGTACAAAGCGATCTTAGGGCTAAGGTGAGTGCAACTCCTATACCTTAACATAGACTTATGACAGTTGTAGCGCTAAGGTTGTTTTGTACGACGACACCCAGGGCCCTTATCCACAAAGCTATCTTAGCACTAAGATAGTCGTACCTCCTGTACTTAAACATTGGGTTATGGAAGTCATAGCGCTAAGATCATTTTGTAAAACAGGGACCAGTTGCCAAATTTGTAGTGTTTTTTTTGGCCACTCCACTCAAATTGAATTGTTTTGTAGTAGATGATACAATTACGACTGAAAGTTATCCTGGCTGGAAGACATCTGGTGAAGGACGGAGGCTGTATTGTTTAGCCTGCAATTGTGAAAAGGTCTCCATGCCTGCAAATATTACAGGCGTTTATCTGTGTCAATTCGATCAAAACTGGTCTAGTTGTCTTCAAGTAGGCAAGGACGCTATTCTCAACATGTTACACACTGGTGGGTTTATTTCCATTTAGGTCCCCTTTCACCATAGCTAGAAACGCATCTTTTGGTATTTGGATCTTGTAAGCTTGTTCACCCCAAGAGTTATATCTTGGCTGAATTCAACACACTGGTTTTTTCTATTATATCTGAGTGTTGGTAGTCTTGTATGAAAGCGTTTAGTCTAGTTTTCAGGGATTTATCTAGACCTGCTTAGAGACCGATTTTAAACCCAAGGACTGCAGCAAATGTCCCTGAAAATTGGATTATAGCTTTAACTAATGTTATAGCTTCATAGAGGTGGCTTGTATTTCACTGACAACAGAACCTATACAGAGAATTGTCACAATATGGCTGTAATATTGTTGATGTGACATTAAATTTTAACTCACTCACCATACAGAGAAATCAGTTTTAGTGCTTCGTTTTATATTATTGTATTGGATGTAATGTTAATAATTAATAATAATAAAATTATTAATAATAATAATAATAATAATAATAATAATAATATATTATTGTATTGGATGTAATGTTAATAATTAATAATAAAAAAATTATTATTATTAATAATAATAATAATAATATTTATAATAAATGGATATTTATTTTATGTCCTATGGTAATCCTCTATTATGCTCATGGCACTACACACAAGCTACCGCTGTCAACAGATTGATATGCTCTCAGCTCCCTGGGGAACATACAATTAATGTTGCCTGTTCGGCACAAGAAAGTTTTCATCCTGCCATGTACCACTTCATTGCAGAGTCTAATTTCAAACTTTGTTACTTATGAATTTTGTCCACCTCCTCTCACCAAAATGTGTTGTATTAATGTATGTGAATGGCCCATTTCTCACATTAAATTCCTTGTTGTATTAGTCAATATGATTTACAATATTTTACAGTTTTAGCCCAGATAAGTTGATATTGAGGATAATCGTTCAAATTGATACAAGCACCAAAGTTATTTGTACTTTTGTCAACTACTTGTTCAAAAAAGTTTGTTAGCAGGTTAGCAAACCTATTAAATGCTACAAATTTTCCAGTTTCCAAGATGGCCGACATTTGTGACAAAACAAGTTTGCTATTAAACTTGACTGGATAGTCTGATTTGAATAATCTTGGCTTCAGTTAATACATTTTCGTCATGGAGAAGCCAAATTTTCAAAGCTACAACTTCTCTGTAACATCGTACCATCATTTAGAGAAGGAAAAGAGTAAATGTCAAGGCACAACCACGGCACATTGGTGACATCACTGCTGTGACACGCAGCATGGGGTTCAGTGTCTGCTAAATAATCACAGTTGTGTAGGTTTAGTGTCCCTAATGCTACCTAACTAGCCCCAAGCTTATAGTCTAGTAAGACTATGTGCCAGTTAGATAGCCACACCGGAATAGACTGCCTGTGCCAGTGTGGGACAGCCAAGCGAAGGATAACGGGGCTTTAGTTATCTGGATGGTGTACAGATCGCATGGGACTTAAAAGTCACTGGATGAACGATTGGGCTAGGTGCAGAGCAATTATTTTATGCCCGTGCCCTATGGAGATCCGGGTTAGAATAGGTCTTCAGCAACCCATGCTTGCCGTAAAAGGCGACTATGCTTGTCGTAGAGGCGAAAAATGAGATCAGGTGGTCAGGCTCTCTGACTTGGTCAAAACGCAACACAAATATGGTATTGGTTGAATGACTCCACCATGCATGACCAAAGCTTATCACCATTTCTTAAGACCTTCTCCAAAATACAGGAACATATGGCCGTTTATATTTCTATGATTCGTTTACATTTTTCTGTGCAAAAAATGTTATTGTAGATTGTGTAAAATTTGTTTTTTATTATTTTTAACTTTTGTATAAGTAGTTCTATTGATGAATGACAAACAAACAAGTTGCCTAAAGATTATTTGTTGAATTCATTATTTGTTAAAATATAGAATTTTATATGTATTATACTCATCTGTAAAACAGTCGGCCCAAATGTTTTTTGTCAATAGTCATGTAATATTTTTTCTAATTTCAGTTGTTTTTGGGGTTGGTCGGTCTCGTAGACAAACTATAAAAAGATAAGACCTAATGTTAAGAAGGCTCAATTTGACAAAAGTATGTATGTGTGTGCCTCTCTGAATGTGTGTGTGTGTGTGTGTGGGTCTGTGTCTGTGTGTGTGGGTCTGTGTCTGTGTGTGGGTGTGTTGCAGTTTAACATGTATACCCTACTCGGACACAGTATACTGACTCTGAGCCATCCAGTCCTAACAAATCAGAACTATCCCCGCAGAGTATCCTCCGATTAATGATGCAGATGGTTCAGTTGCTAAGACCATCTTAAAGTTCTATTAGATATTAGTTTCATCCTGGTTTTATTTGAAAACTGATGTATATGAAAAAAGGAATGTCAAATGAATTGAAGGTTTGATTTTAGTTTAAACATTTTATTAGCTTCTTAATATAATTAAGTCAGTAAAGCAAGTAAGTTAATATTTAAAGTTTCATCAGCTGTACTGTGGGGTGGTCTGGTAGCCAAGTGGTTAAAGCGTTCACTCATCAAGCCGAAGACCCAGGTTCGATTCCCGACATAGGTACAATGTGTGAAGCCATTTTCTGGTTTCCCCCTCCGTGATATTGCTGGAATATTTCTAAAAGTGGCGTAAAACCATACTCACTCACTCACTCAGCTGTACTTCAGCCATATTGTGATGAGAAGAAGTTCTACATATACATATACATAGTGATAGTCATATGGTCCATCAATTATAATAGATGAGGTGCAATGGGCTTTATGCAACCTTGAAGATTATTGCACTCATATTTATAGTGACGTGTGTATATGTGTGGTTGCTTGAACCAGTCTGGTGTAATGTTGATTTTATAGTGCCAGCCCACTGAGATACCATGCTGCAGTTTAACATGAATACCCCACTCAGACACGCGGCCTCCTGGTCTGTTCACCTGCATCTGAATGTTTGTTTGTTCAGCATCTTGGCGTTCCAGAGTGTCATGTCTGTATCACTGCGAGCGACACAGCAACAGAGGTTGCTTCAGGCAATTACTCATAACTTTTGTATTTTACCATGTTGATAAATATTATGTGATTTCCGATTTTCGGAACTGAGTAATAGATAATTGGTCTGGCCAACATTAATCTGTCAGAACAAGTGGAATGACTGTACACTCTGAGTGTGGCGTGTGTGTGCCTGTGTGTGTGTGTGGTGTGTGCTGTGTGTGTGTGCATGTGTGCGCCTGTATCTGTGTGTGTGTGTGTGTGTGTGTGTTTTGTTTTATTCTATTATTCTTTTGATTATAATCCTGATGTATTTTGTATTCTATCGCCCTAACTGATGTTCTGATGTATGTCAAGAGGGACATAACATAACCATATGTCATTTGGACAGTCCGTGTTAATTCCTAGGCAAGGAAAATAATAATTATAGCAAGCTCTTTGGGACAAACTTTCACAAATCTTGCCATAACAAAAGTATGTACAGCAAGACCCTGCTAATCTGAGGTTCCTTTGAAAATGGGATGAATTAACCCATGTCCTTTGTATATATGTGTATATAGGTTTGTGGGTGTTTCTGACTATATATCTAGGAGTTGCTATGCTAACCAGGTTTGTTAACTTAGGAGCAGTATTTCATTAAGATCAATACACAATTTAGTGTTGTTTATAAATACTGCTAGCTTATTTTGGAAAACTGTTTCTTGATTGGTTAACTACCAGGATTTGTTCAGCAATATGGCAACCATGCATTGATGTGTTACTGTGGTCATGTTGTAAAGTAGCATTGAAGATATGTTTTGTTTATGATTAATTAAAGTATTATGACATGATATATATGTGTGTGTAGATATATGTATCCTATTTGTAACGCCAATGTTATGGGGTATACCACCAATTATTTCCAAATGTGTCGGGCGGTCGGGTAGCCTAGTGGTTAAAGCGTTCACTCGACACGTCACGTCGAGGAGCCGGGTTCGATTCCCGACATGGGTACAATGTGTGAAGCCCTTTCTGGTGTCCCCCGCCGTGATGTTGCTGGAATACTGCTTAAGCGGCGTAAAACCAAACTCACTCACTCACTCACTCACTCCAGTTGTGTCAGCCATGCTTTTGATCCTCCAGATCCTCTGGCCAATCAGCCTGTACTTATCCCAGTCTGCAAATATCACTAAGTGTAACATTCAAATGGCTGCCACCTTGGCATTGAACAGTCCTGCTAGAAACTCAAAGTCCGCTGGACATTGTATTCAAGGATCAGTGGGACATTCATTACTTGGTAAAGGAAATTCAACTGACTTTGAGGAATTTGATTTGGTGACGAAGCCACGCCCACCGCCAGACTACTGTTTATTTATTTGAGAAATACATGTAAATGACGAGTGGGAGTTGTTTATCCTACAATAAGACACTGCAGGGCGAATAAACATGCAGTGTTTTATTGTACGATAAACAACTACCACAAATCGTTTATTTCTTATATGAGATATCGACATTCTTTAAGGATGATGATAAAATGTACAAACGTTATACTCATATTTACCCGTCAGATGACTCCCGTGACTCCCGTAATACAATCTGACCCGTAATACAATCTGACTCCCGTGACTCCCGTAATACAATCTGACCCGTAATACAATCTGACCCGTAATACAATCTGACTCCCGTAATACAATCTGACCCGTAATACAATCTGACTCCCGTGACTCCCGTAATACAATCTGACCCGTAATACAATCTGACTCCCGTAATACAATCTGACCCGTAATACAATCTGACTCCCGTGATTCCCGTAATACAATCTGACTCCCGTAATACAATCTGACCCGTAATACAATCTGACTCCCGTGACTCCCGTAATACAATCTGACCCGTAATACAATCTGACTCCCGTAATACAATCTGACCCGTAATACAATCTGACTCCCGTGACTCCCGTAATACAATCTGACCCATAATACAATCTGACTCCCGTAATACAATCTGACCCGTAATACAATCTGACTCCCGTGACTCCCGTAATACAATCTGACCCGTAATACAATCTGACTCCCGTAATACAATCTGACCTCAGGAATTTTGGACAAATCCTTTTCATGCACAGGAGGGTATTTCCCGCATATTCTTACAATACTTATGTCGATGTACCTTTTCTCCAAAATATTTTTCTTGTCATATCTCGCCCGCTTTTGGATGAGATTTCTCGGCCATCACGTTTATCTGCGTTGCCCAAATACATATGGGGAACACCTCACTAGACACTCACCTCTCAATTATAGTCTTCGTCCAATATAATTATATGATGTCATCAAGTTGCGAGCGCATGCTTGACGTCATTATAGAGCAATGTTTTATCGCGAAATAATTAACACTTCGTTCTTCATTGTACTTTGCTATTTTTCGTGTAGTTATCTTATATTGGTTGATCATTGATTTGGAGAGTTGTATTATTGCGATGAACGATTATACTCATGCGATGACAATTGCCTAATATTGTTTCTGTGTTTATGCTTAATAAACAAATTAAATCGGAAGTTATTGTTGAATTATTCATTAATAATGATTGATTCCAATATATACTAACAGAAAAAAATTACTGTGCTTCATAAAACGTTCGATAAAAAATGAATCGTCGTCCACGTCTAACATCACGTCAACAAAACGATCATATATAGCTGGAATATTGCTGAGTGCGGCGTTAAACAACAGGCAAACAAACCATAAAGATAAAGTTGTCAAAAACGTCAGTTCTCACTTGTGTGCGTACTGTTTCCTTCCTGACCTTCCACCAGTTGCACTTGATATCCGTAAAGATCCTGGGTAGAATAGATCTTCAGCAACCCATGCTTGCCATTAAAGGCGACTATGCTTGTCGTAGAGGCGAAAAAATGAGAGTGGGTGGTCAGGCTCGCTGACTTAGTTGATGCATGTCATAGTATCTCAAATGCGTGGATAGGTGCTCATGATATCAATCACTGGGCTATCTGGGTCCAGACTCGATTATTTACAGACCGCCGTCATATAACTGGAATATTACTGAGTGCGGCGTTAAACAACTAACAAACAAACAAACAAACTTACAGGCCGATTACTTGCATGGCCATTTTTGCCCTTCCTCTGCAGTGCAATGTATGAGCATGAATGGTTTTACGTCGCTTTTAGCAATATTCCAGCAATGTCACGGGGGAAATGGGCTTCACACGTTGTACCTATGACGGAAATCGAACCCGGGCCTTTGACCTTACCAGCGAAAGCTTTAACCACTAGGCTACCACACCGCACCTAATAAAGCTGGAACATTGCTGACCGTGTCGTAAAACAACATTCACGCACTAACTCACTCACTCTTTCACTAATATAGATCAGATAGATAGATTATTAAAATCAGATCTTAGTTCTCACTACCGCTAAACAAAGATCTGAGGACATCCCATTACGGGTCACGTCAGACCGACCTTGCGCGAACTTTGATGACCAATCAGAAGGCAGCTTTCTCGTGCTTTACGGCACACATTTGAAATTGGCGACTACGCTTCGAAACATATTTTGACAAATTTCTTGATTACAAATTTGAAACCTGATCAAAAGAACATTCTGGAATGGCTAATAGGTGGTCTAGATTGTATGGATTCAGTCGTTAAACCCGTAACTATTGTTCGGAATACCCCGTGTTAAAATTTTCGAGGTTGGATGATTAGAAATCACATTCCGACTGTCACTTTCATTATCTGGTAAGCGACGCTCTGATTCGTCGGATGAAAGGTCGTTCTGACGTGACCCCTAATGGGATGTCTTCAGATCTTTGTTTAGCGATAGCGAGAACTAAGGTCTGATTTTAATGAGATTGACAATAGACAGAGTTGGTAGCACAAAACACAAGTGTATTTCTCAGCAGATTTTATTCCGACCCGGCTTGATTAATCTTTTGGGGATCTCCTGGCGTCGTGAACGGCATCCACCAACCCATGACCTACTGGGTATTCTCATCGTCATCAAGCAGAAAGTCCTGCATTAAGGCAGACCATATGGCGGCGTCCACGATGCTGTCACCTGGCGTAAGAAAAGGGTAATCAAGAACGGTAACCCAGTTTTAAATTGTATGTTTCATGAGTTCCAAGTGTTTTGCAGTTTTGCAATAATGCTTTCATGTCAGCGCCATATCAAACCAAAGCGTTCCGTTCATTTTCTCTTTTCTCCATCAATTTATTTCGGATCTGGAGCATACTGGTCCTTTTCATGTCTGATTCTAGTAATTAAAAAACAGACAATTTGCAAGTGATTCTATGGCATTTGAATGGCTAACCATGTATTTTTTTTTGCGGTTATGTTTAAATTGGCCACGCCTTCTACCGGACTTTTATTCCTAATTGGCTAATAATCGAGTGGGCGGGGCTTGTGTTGCTTTATTGAGTGAGTGAGTTTGGTTTAACGCCGCTTTTAACAGTATTCCAGTTGTATTACAGCGTGTCAGCTTAATGTGGGAGGAAAGCCCCAAGTGATGCAGGTCCTAGACGTTTACCACTTTGGTGAAACCCACGAGCACGGGTATGGTTCTGACAAACCTAGAAACATAATCGGGGCGAACCGGGATTCGAACCCACAGTAATAGGTTTCTGGCGTGCCCAAGGGGCGCAACTCTGCATAGCGAATCGCGGCGCCTTAGATGACTGGGCCCCCCGTGCCCCCGTGTTGCTTTATTGCGCTGAATGATGGCATTGATTTCATGTGTGTTAGATGATTAAAAGAGACGTCTGTGAATTATTTTTGTTAACTTATCCTTTTATAAGAATTGAATTCAAAATAGTTTTTTGCGTTTATGAAGGTATAAAGGTAAAAGCCGACGTGCTTACTTGGCGTAAAACGCTGCATTTAGACAGTGTGCACACCCCTGTATATGGTTTTACTTCCATACACACAAAAACTATTGAAGTAGCTTTCCTGTAAGAATTCGACCGCCTTCGTGGTAAAGTAGATATGGTCCAGTCGTCCAGTCGTCTAAGCAACTCATTTATGTGTCTTTATATTGCAGGGGGCACGGATGGCCCAGTCGTCTAAGGCGCCGCGATTCGCTGTGCAGAGTTGCGTCACTTGGGCACGCCAGAAACCTATGATTGTGGGTTCGAATCCCGGTTCGCCCCGATTATGTTTCTAGGTTTGTCAGCACCATACCCGTGCTCGTGGGTTTCACCGAAGTGGTAAACGCCTGAGACCTTCATCACTTCGGGCTTTCCTCCCACATTAAGCTGACACGCCGCGATATAACTGGAATACTGTTAAAAGCGGCGTAAAACCCAACTCACTCACTCACTCACTAAGACGCCGCGGTTCTCTGTGCAGAGTTGTCTCCCTTGGGCAACCCAGAAACCTATGATTGTGCGTTCGAATCCTGGTTCGCCCCGATTGTTTGTAGGTTTGTCAGCACCAAAGCCATGTTCTTTAGTTTCAATGTGGTTAACGTTTAAGACCTGAACCACTTTGGGTTTTCCTCCCACATTAAGCTGACACGCCGTGATATAACCGAAATACTGTTAAAAGCGGCGTTAAACTTAATTGACTCTTGTAGATAGATTGTCTACCCGGAGAGTGGAAGGTCGGCGTTCGATCCCCCAACTGTGCCATAGCCAAAGACGTTAAAAGTTGGAACTTGTTACGCTGCCTGGCGCTCGGCTTTAGGGGACAAAACAAGGACTGGTTTAGGGTCCCATCTCTACCATGACGTAACTTTGTTTTGGGGTGCCAGTGGTGTCACCGTGATCGCTTTATGTTATGACTCTGCAACTCGCATGGCCGTGAGGTTGCGCTGAGTCAAAGAGTTAGGTGTCTGTCAACTGTTGCTCGCAGCTACCTACATAAAGCATAACAGTATGAGTGAGTGAGTGAGTATGGTTTTATGCTGCTTTTAGCAATATTCCTGCAATATCACGGCGTGTCAGCTTAATGTGGGAGGAAAGCCCGAAGTGATGCCCAGAAATGGGCTTCACACATTGTGCTCATGTCGGGAATCGAACTCGTTTTAACCACTAGGCTACCCGACCGCCCCCATAACAGTATGAAGGAATTATGCATGTGTTAAAACGAGATAATGGGTACCTGAGGAAGAGGATGAAGATGAGGACGAGGAAGAGGAAGACGAGGAAGAAGAAGACGACGAGGAAGAAGAGGAACTCGACGAAGATCCAGAAGACGATTCACATTCAGAGGACGAACTTGATGAGGATCCAGAGGAAGAACTTGATGAGGATCCAGAGGATGATTCACATTCAGTGGAGGAGGACGAACTCGATCCAGAGGAAGAGGAAGAACCCAAGTCCCATGACCATGATAAATCAGGGAACAGTGGTAGGTCTGGGAAGGAGAAAGGGTCATCATCTGTGGAGAAGAAACACCAATATTGTTATTTGCATGGGAATAATAATACGAAGAGCAAAAATTATCCTGTAAGTGTTTTCGGCAGTAATAGTAAGTATGATTTTACTCCGCTTTAGCAGTATTCCAGCAATATCATGACGAGGGGCACCCAAAATCCTGGATCTGCCCTAAAACGTGTTAACACCACACTTCAACTGACTGTAAAAGTCCAGTGCCAGTTAACTCCCTTGCCTCGGGAAGATGGAGGTCGCCTAGAGGTTAAAGCGTTTGCTCGTCACGCCGAAGACCCGGGTCCGATTCCCCACATTGGTATAATGTGTGAAGCCCATTTCTGGTGTCGCCCGCCGTGATATTGCTGGAATATTGCTGAAAGCGGCGTAAGTACCATACTCACTCACTCACTTATATAAACGGCATATACAGTTCTTAAAGTGAACCTTCAATTCTAGTCCGGTTTCAATGACTACAGTAGATTATATGTCGGAAATGGTTTCAGAGGTAGAAAGACTGACGTACTTGTCTGGAGTTCGGTGTCACGTGCCAGCTGTGTAAAAACAGAAATGCAATATTTTCACAATGTGTTACAAATCGACACATATTATACAAAAGTAGTGAAGGTGAAAAAGTAAATGCTGTAGTATTTCAGATTATTTCATATGTTAAATACAATATGTAATGTTAAACCTAATTTACTCATTCGCTCTACCAACAAAACATATTTTCACAAAATTCCATAAAATTAGTCAGAATTGCTTTTCGCCGATTTAAGCAATTTTCCAATAATGTCACGTTTAACCACGAGGCTACCCCAACGCCGGATCTTCACCGAAGAACTCGACATTTATATGACATTATATGACCCTTCTCGGGGGCACGGGTGACCCAGTCGTCTAAGGCGCCGCGATTGGCTGAGCAGAGTTGAGTCCCTTCTATTGGACACGCCAAAAAACTTATGATTGTGGGTTCGAATCCCGGTTTGCCCCGATTATGTTTCTAGGTTTGCCAGCACCATACCCGTGCTCGTGGGTTTCACCAACGTGGTAATCATCAAAGACCTGCGGGCTTCGGGCTTTCCTCCCACATTAAGCTGACACGCCATGATATAACTGGAATACTGTTAAAAGCGGCGTTAAACCCAACACACTCACTCTCAGCACAATCCTGCTGTTAGTCTATGTCATAGCAAGGGGAGAATGTTGGAATAATGGAATCTGGGCCAGTGAAACCAGTCGTTGAAGGCATGAGCACCTATCCACATACTCAACCCGACCTCTATATGTCAAGAGTTACCTGATACCATTTCTACACATGAATCCCTGTTAAATATCATGGATACCACCAATACGGTATGTTGCTGAAGACGCTAATTCAAAAGTAACAAGAGGAATTCTTTCGCGACATTAATATAAGTGTGAACAACAATTGAGTATTCACTGTATTAAGCAACAATGGCAAATAATTGATTCATTTGTTCGTTGTTTACAGCCACACGCCGCAATATTCCTGCCATATGACGGCACGGTTTGTGAATAATCGAGTCTGACCACCCGATCTCATGGCCCCATTACGAAATGTAAAGCACACGTTGGCGCTTACCTTCAAATTGCAAATTATTGTTGGGGGAAGTTAATGAAATAAGTGTTTAGTTATCTAAAATAATCGTAAACTGATATTGTGTAATTGTAACGGAATTCGTATTTATAAAGTGCACTTGTGCTGCACGTGCAACATTGACATGCGCGGGCGAGTCAGCTTCTGCATAGGGACAGGTTCCATATTTGCCATATCTCATTTTACTTTGTAAATAGTTCTTTTTTTATTTCCAATGCTGGATCAAACACGCATCTTCATTGATGCAGGAGATCGTAAACCTTCAGGAAGACAGTTTTGGGGTCTTGCATTCCCTCGACTCTCTGCCCTTGGGTTTTTACAGTCCCAAACATAACCTCGACTTTACCATTTTCAAAAACCAGGCTAAAACTTCCATTCCCCTGACAAGGTACATCTTCCCGAGGCAAGGGAGTTAACGGAAGTTGGAAAGTCCGGTTTCCACCCTTGCCGAACTAGGTTGGAATTATGGAGTTAAATTTTGGCTGGTCTAACGAGTTTTTGTATAGTCCAATCAAATTCCCGTAACGAAATCGACATCCGGTTCATGGCATGGCAACTGTCGTGCCGAATTCGTTCGATTACAGGATTTGCAGAGCAAGTGTATCGTCAACTGGGCGTCGACAGATATTTTGCAAATCCTTTCATGTATTTAATCAAGATGCTCAAGTGATTTGATGCACTTCGCTAGGTAAAACCTTACAATAAAGATCTTTATTATGGATGAAACAGTCTTGACTAGGCGAAGCTATTTTGTTTGAAGGGACATAACTCGTAATAGCCACTGGTGGCGCTACGATCGAGTCCAGAAATTCCAGCCAGTTAACTCCCTTGCCTCGGTTAGATGAACAAGGTACAACATTAACGCAAAACACAGCAATCAGCCTGGATACTAAAATGTCATCTCATGTAACGCTATATACACCTCGTACGTAAACATATGACAAGACCTACCCCAGGCATAGCAAGAGCTGGAACCACGACCAAGACGAGTAATACTGCTGACTGGATCATATTGCTTGACGAATCTTTGGTGAGCGTTTTCTTTTATACTACAATTTATAAGGCTAATAAACAATAGTCTTGGTTCTCAGTCACCGGCGCATCATCATAAAGTCCTCTAATAATTATCGCCTCCGTTCGAGAGCGTCTGCCCGGAGAGCGAAAGGTTGGGGTCTAAATCCCCGGCTGCGTCATACCAAAAGACGTTAAAAGATGGTACGTGTTGTTACTTGGTGCTCGGCATCAAGGGGCTGAAACATGGACTGGTCGGCTCGAAGTCAGTATACTGTGTCTAGGGTATTCATGTCAAACTGCGGCATGGTATCTCAGTGGACTAGAACTATAAAATCAAGCAGACACACACACGTGCATGCACGTCGCTGTACAAAAGCAATAATCTTGAACGCGACGTTCAACCCCATTTCACCTCACCACCTCATCTATAATATTAAAAATATCGAGATCCAATATAAGCGCGCAGTTACTTCCCTTTAAATGCGCACGGCACATGGCAGTTGTAGGAGTTTGTGTTCTTGTTTTGCCGTTTGCAAATTTGGTCATTGAAAATGTGAAATTAACGATATAATTTGCAATATATTTAATTAATTACAATAATGTGTTTTTTAGACACAAAGATTAAGGTGATCGCGTGTAATTGTCTCGTAGAATAAGCTGAAGATCCGAGGTAGAATAGGTCTTCAGCAACCCATGCTTGCCGTATAAGGCGACTATGCTTGTCGTAAGGAGCGACTGACGGGATCGGGTGGTCAGGCTCGCTGACTTGGTTGATGCATGTCATCGATCTCAATTGCTTGGATCGATGCTTATGATAATATTCACTGGATTATCTGGTCCAGACTCGATTATTTACAGACCGCCGTCATATAGCTGGAATATTGCTGAGTGCGGCGTTAAACGACAAACAATCAATCAACATGCCAATTTGGAAAAATAGGATAGAACAAAAAGTCCACCAGCTGGCACTATGTTTCCAAAAGCCAGTGCCCGAGAAACAATTAACGTTTTTTTAGCCTGAAGCTAGGACCTTCTATTTTGGTACATTCGCGTATTATGATATCATATTCTTCGAACCTTAGACGTCAAGTTCCCTCGCACCAACACGGGAACCCAGTATATAAAACATTACATCTTGATAATGACTTGCCACACCTGGGCACACCTTGGCACACCTTGGCACACTTGGACATACCTGGACACACCTGTAGGATTGTTATAATCTGCTATTCCGTCCGTATCAAACCGTATGTTACTTGTGTCAGGGCGTGATAGTCCGTGGCATACGGTTGGGTATAAAATTTACGACTGAAGAAACATCTATACGATGTTCACATGCCTTCATTTCAAGGTCTCAGAAAATCTTTCAAAACGTTTTATGGTAGATATGTGGAAGACCTTTCCAAATTTGAAGCATCGGTGACAAAAATAATGTCCGATGAAATTCCCTATTTTGACTTGTACCACAATGTTTCCGTGTTTTTTTTCGTTGAAGAATTGACGTTGCATGTGTTTGTGACGTGTGCCACCGGTGTGGCAGGATACGCTTACCTTTTCGCGAACACCAGGTATCATCACTATTTGATAGTGATTCATAAACACATGCTCATGATATAGTCGGAATGGAACTATCGACTCTGTTTTTGTCAGAGTTTTCTAATGAATAATGAAAGGGTTTTGTCGTTTTTATTATCAAAATTGTTATCCGAAGTTTCGTTTTGTCTGTTAAGTGTGAAGCATAATGTTCTATATTTGTTTATTTGTTTTAAAGGTCTCAAAACAATAATTTCATTGTGAATATAACTGCTCCCTTATTCAATTCCAGTTTATAATTTTAAATAATTGTATAATCGAATCATAAAACATATAACATTCTCAAAATGATTTCATCATCAACAGGTTAAAAAGCCACACAATTAATTGCATCTGTCTATCGACGTACATATTGCATGTTAATAGAAATTATAGAAATTCGAACCCAGACAAAATCATCAATATGCGGGTGAGGTGAAATTGGGTTTTTGTGTGCGTGCGTGCGTGCGTGCGTGCATGCGTGCGCGTGTGTGTGGCTGCTTGTACTATCCCGGACCAATGCCGTATTTCTATAGTGCTAGTCCACTGAGGTACCATGCCACAGTGAATGTCCCACTCAGACACAGTATACTGACTCCGAGCCGACCAGTGACTTTTTTTAGCCCCTAATGCCGAGCACCAGCCAGGGTAACAACAAGAACCATCTTTTAAAGTCTTTTGGAATGACTTACTTACAACCAATGATATTAAAGATTACAGAGCAAATGTCTAAATATTTGACAAGCAGTTAAGTTGACGCCGCACTCAGCAATATTCCAGCTATATGACGGCGGTCTGTAAAATAATCGAGTTTGGACCAGATACTCCAGTGATTGATATCATGATCATCGATCCACGCAATATGGGATTGATGACATGTATCAACCAAGTCAGCGAGCCTGACCACCCGATCCCGTTAGTCGCCTTTTACGACAAGCATAGTCGCCTTTTACTGCAAGAATGGGTTGCAAAAGACCTATTCTGTCCCGGAAACTTCACGGGTCCACACGTATGTAAGCGCTAGTGCTGATAAGACGAAGAAAATAGACATGAAACCCTATACAAGTTAACAATCCAAAGTCAACGATACATTTAGTCAGATTTATTTATCCTTTTTTTATTTTCCTTCAGTGTAAGATATTTTTCAACGTATTGGAATATTAAAATTATGAAATCGTAATTGAAGGAAATGTTGCATAAAGTAGGAAGAGGATGGTGAAATGCAGTCTTCTGCTCATTTTCTTATCCTTAACATTTACGTTTTGTCTGCTTCAGCAACTAGACCTTTTTTATTATTGCACTTCATCATGTCGTCCCATTTGTCAGAAGGTGTACGGTTCATATGGAGCTTAAGTAAGGCATCAGAACAATTGCGGACGTTTGTCTAAAGCGTGGGGGAGGGGTAGGAGATGAGGCAAAGCGTGGTGTACAGACGGGGAGGTAACTCTAATTACACTTGCTGAAATAATCTGAGCACGACAGCTCTCGATATTGTACGAGCGCTTCATTCACTTGCTGCCACTGATACTCACCACATATATACTTACCGAGTGAGTGAGTTAAATTTTAACGACACATCGGCGATATTTCAGCTATATCGTGACTCAAATAAACTTACTACCATCTCTCTTGTCATATAACAATATATAACAACAGAATCGAAGTGATTAGGCTCTGTGATTTGGTTCATGCAGGTCATCGTATCCCAATTGCTAGGATCGATGTTCATTATGACAGACAAACAGACAGACAGACAAATATTGAGCTGCACATATTTCAATATGTAGAAAGTGGCTGTTTCATCTGTCACCTATTAAACAGAAAAATGGAAGTGCATGCTTGCTAACCTTTGATTCGTTGTCATCATGTAGGGTTAACTATAAACTGAAAGGGGGGCACGGGTGGCCCAGTCGTCTAAGGCGCCGCGATTCGCTGTGTAGAATTGCGTCCCTGGAGCACGCCAGAAACCTATGATTGTAGGTTCGAATCCCGGTTCGCCCCGATTATGTTTCTAGGTTTGTCAGCACCATACCCATGCTCGTGGGTTTCATCGAAGCTTTCCTCCCACATTAAGCTGAAACACCGCGATATAACTGAAATATTGGTATAAGCGGCGTTAAACACAACGCTCTCACTCACTATAAACTGAAAAGACCCTCTCTCTCTCTCTCTCTCTCTCTCTCTCTCTCTCTCTCTCTCTCTCTCTCTCTCTCTCTCTCTCTCTCTCTGTGTGTATATATATAATAATATATCCTCTCATTCCTAGAGAAAAGTGAGAATTTTTATTGGGCCTTCTAAATGACTCTGGAGCCTGGTTTTGAAACGTCACTTTACAAGTTTCACATTTGGATGTATATAATTCTTAATCTACTTTGCATTTCTACTTTTACAAATTATTAATTTAAAGGAAACGACTGTGTTTTTGTGGGGATTCTAATTCAAGAAGGAAAGAAAAACACTATTCTTCCAAACCATGTTATTCATCTTTATTGGTATCGAGAAAATTCTTCTTGGTATTGTCAAAAGACAATTGTTTCATAAAACAAAATATATCAGAGAACCGATTTTTTGTAGCCAAAAATATGTATTTCCATATCATTTAACTCTTATGCACTTGGCTGCCCTACATCAGAACTCTCGGAGCAGTAGTCTGTGTTACTAGGTCAATCTATCATGCTGATAAGACACCCCAGGTTCAAAGATAAACTATTTTCTCAAACTATATTAATGCTATGATTGTTGACACTTGATGTCACCCCACTGTATCGACGAGGTCAAGCCATATTTGTCAATGTACGTTTAAGGTATCGCATTATATCTTAAACGCGGCCGAGAGATGGAAGCTCCTCGTTTGTCACATTTCAACGATCTAGGAACCACTTCTAACCCGGATCTTCACGGTGACTGTTGAATCACGCGCTCTTAGTTCCACGTCTAGCGGGAGATGTGCCGATTCTGCCACTGATGCATTCAGTACTTAATATCGCGATTAAATAGTTAATATAAACATTTGCTTGTTTGTTTGTTGTTTAACGCCGCACTCAACACTATTACAGCTATATGACGGCGGTCTGTAAATAATCGAGTCGGGACCAGACAATCCAGTGATTGACATCATGAGCATCGATCCACGCATTTGGGATACGATGACATGCATCAACCAAGTCAACGAGCCAGACCACCCGATCCCGTTAGTCGCCTTTTACGACAAGCATAGTCGCCTTTTACGGCAAGCATGCCATTGAGTTGCTGAAGACCTATTCTATCCCGGATCTTCACGGGTCTAATGTGAACATTTGACATAGTTAATTACACTGGACCCATTATAGCCAAGACAGGTGATAACTGCCAAGATGTGAACAGAACCACATCTTCCATCTTATATTGAATATTCAATATGGACATAAACATTTCTACAGACATGTTTGACCAATCTCATTAAAATCAGATCTAAGTTCTCGCTGCCGCTAAACAAAGA